CACCTGGACATAGTCAAGTGAGTGGCAAGCCTTTATCTATCTATATATAATATTATATATCCTTCTCATTCTCCCACTCAGATTCCTTGTGCAATTTGGCTGTGATGTGAATGCGCAGGACTCGGATGGCTGGACGCCGCTGCACTGCGCCGCCAGCTGCAACAATCTGAACATGGTCAAGTTCTTGGTGGAGAGCGGCGCCTGTCTGTTCGCCTCGACGCTCTCCGATCATGAGACGCCGGCGGAGAAGTGCGAGGAGGATGAGGAGGGCTTTGATGGCTGCTCCGAGTATTTGTACAGTAAGTTTTGTGTGCCATGATGGAAATAACTGACTCTAAGCTGACTCTCCCACTCTCTCTCTCTCCCATTAGGCATTCAGGAGAAGTTGGGCATCTTGCACAATGGCGAAGTCTATGCGGTGTTCTCGTACGAGGCGCAGAACAGCGACGAGCTGAGCTTCCACGTCAACGAGCCGCTGATCGTGCTGCGCAAGGGCGACGATGCCGAGAACGAATGGTGGTGGGCACGCAATGCAGCGGGCGAGGAGGGCTACGTGCCGCGCAATCTGCTCGGCGTAAGTTATATCGCATATATATATGGCGCTCTGCTGGGTCAGCTGCTAATCAGTTACGTCTCTCTCTCTCTGTCTCTCTCTCCCTGCAGCTATATCCACGTGTGCCGCCGCAGTCGCCGCACTTCAGCGATTAGCAGTTAATACGCTACACCATACTCAAGCGCAAGGCTGGCCGACTTGTGCAGAAGCGCTATATATCCAAGTATATATAGTGAGCCAAGCAGCTGGAGCAGCTGGAGCAGCAGGAGCACATTCCGGGCACGTGCCAACAGCTTCATCTCGCAGGACCAAATCTTAGTTACGAGCCGAGCATTATTTATGACAGCCTCAACAATAATTCTTTCCGGTTTACTTTTTCGTTATTTTGTTGTTTTGAGAAAAAGCCACAAGAAGGAAACCAGACGCAGTCACATACGCCCATCCATTCACGCACACACACACACACGCCCACATATGGCTACACATATGGCAGACGTCGTGTGTGTGTATGTGTGTGAGTGAGAGTGCTGCAAGTGCGCCAATGTGCGCCCATCAACAGAATGTGCAGCGCCTGAGGCAGCAGCTATTTATTATAAAAGAAGAGGAGCTACAATTAGGCAGCAGCCTGACTGCCTGCCAGCCTGTCTGCCTTATCCTGCTGCCTTATCCTGCTGCCTGGTCCTGCTGCCTGTTCGTTCGCCTCGTTCGCTCGTCTTCTGCTTGCCTCCTGCACACACGTACAATAAATTGAATTTCGCTTAAGCCCCCCTGCTTAGATTAAGGCCTAGACTAATAACATAAGCAATACACACCCGAGCCTTGCCCCTTCCAGACCCTCCATGCCGACCAAACGAACAACTCGGCCACAAATTGCTTTTATGCATTAAATGAAAATTTGCAAAATTTCAAACTTCAAATTGAAAATAAACTTATGCACTTTGTGGCGTGCAGCAGACGAGTTTGTTAATTGCCAGCAAATGAGTTTTAAGCTATCAATATTCGAAATCGATTTAAAACTTTGCATTCATTTAAAAATATTTAGGAACAACAACAACAACAACAAGAAATCAATTGTGATTTTTGTATTGTAAAAAGCGAAAAGCATATAACTTAAAATGTCGTTAATATTGCCTAATGTACAGTACTTACTATCTATGACTAAACAAGCCGCTTCGTTATCAAATTACGATTCCTAATAATACATATTAAAATTTAGTTTATATATATTCGAATATATATACATTAATATACATATTTATATGTACTTAATTGCCTAATGCCTACCACCTACTCCTAGCATTAACTAAAATACAAACAAAAATACAAATCAAACACACAATAAATTCTAATTGGAAATTTCAAATAGTTTTATTAAAAGGGAATATCGGAAAATCAGAAACATAATCCTTAAGGATCTGCGAAGGACCGTTTTGAATAGCATTTTGCGATCGTGGGAAGAAATATTATTGATTGCCATTCAAGGATTTCAGGGAAAAATGACCAAGGAACGTCTTAGCAACGCTAAGTAAAGATTTCTTTAAATTTGCAGTGCTGCCCTCTAGAGTATGCAATGGAAATGCACTTTTCGACATCGCATCACAAAAGTATGCAACAGTTTTATATCAAATTTCTGTAGGTACTCCCGCTGCCCTCGGGAATATGCAATAAAAACACATTTTTGACATTGCAGCACAAAAGTATGCAACATTTTTATATCCATTCAGTTGGTTGTGAACTTTGCTAAATTATTATCCGAATCTTATACAGCTCAATTGTTGCCCTTTTATAAGTAAAAAGTCGGTTTAAATGTATTTCTGTAATTTTATTTCAATTCATTTGCCTACAAAAATATGTCCACTGCGTAGCCCCGATTTGGCTCTAAGGTGTGCAGATTTGGGGAATATGCGCAAAATCCAACTATAGACGCATACAGGTCTTGCAAAATCGAGTATTGCGACAAATCACCAACTGCCCATGGTATGTGCGAGGCTCTACCCTGCATCGAGACTTGAAACTGTTCACAGTGGAGGAACAGATTGGGAGACACACTAGCCGATATAGTGACAGACTGGCTAGACACCGGAGCAGACTAGCGAGAAGATTGCTCCCTGCGAGGCCACTAAGGCGATTAAAACGCTTAGGCTTTGCAAAAAATATTAGATAAGTTTAGTTTAGTGATATTTGTAAATATATATTGTAAGTCCTCCTGAATCATCAGAAGGTTAGGCTCTAATATAATATTCCAACTGTGTTGTTAAAGTACTATATTTGCATGTACAGGTTCAACGCTTAAATAAAAT